TTAACTTCTCTAGAACCACTGGGCCAATTTTACCCAATTCATATAGAAATATGTACATTTGTATGTCAGACTGTCCATCTGTCTCAATAAATTTAACCTTGGTCATCACGGTCATATCTACTGAATGAGAAGAGACAAGGCATTCATATTAAACTTATGTACTAGTATTTACCTGTGAGAATGGCATGGTTTTTTTTTTTTACATATGACCTAGAAGTTTGACCTACTTGCAAAAAAATTAAATTGTTATAAATTCATCATTTTGAAAGAGAAAAGTTAGGGCATTCATATTATAATGCATGTATATTATTACCTGTGATAAGATCTTTCCAAATGAATCACGACTTTTACTCTGTGACCTTGACCTTGAAGTCTAACCTACTTTTCAAAAATGTTGCATTTGCTTATAACTTTTGATTGAGATGAGATATGACTCTCACATTTGACATGTACATTAATTACTCATAAGAATCCAAGGTGTTTCCCAGCATGCGATGCTTTTTTACCCCTTGACGTTGATGTTTTACATAATTTTCAAAATATTTAACTCTCCTAAAAGATGATTAGGCTTCTGAGTAACATTAAGGAGGACTTCAGAAAAGACAGGACTTTTTGCACAAAAAAAGTCATTTTTCCACCCCCATTTGACCCCCGGGGAAAAAATCAAAATTACGAAACCTTACTGCACATCTACATAACACCACCAACCATCTCCCAAAAGATGATTAGGCTACTGTGTAAAATGTAGGAGAAGTTCAGGGAAGACGGGGCTTTTTGCATAAAAAACGTCATTTTTTGACCCCCATTTGACCCCCTGAGGCAAAATCAAAATTCCGAAACCTTACTGCACATCTACATGACACCACCACCCATCTCCAAAGGTGATTAGGCTGCTGAGTAAAATGTAAGAGGAGTTCAGGGAAGACGGGGCTTTTTGCATAAAAAACATCATTTTTCAACCCCCATTTGACCCCCCGGGGCAAAATCAAAAATCCGAAACCTTACTCCACATCTACATGACCCCACCAACCATCTCCCAAAAGATGATTAGGCTGCTGAGTAAAATGTAAGAGAAGTTCAGGGAAGACGGGGCTTTTTACATAAAAAAACATCATTTTTCTACCCCCATTTGACCCCCCGGGGCAAAATCAAAATTCCGAAACCTTACTGCACATCTACATGACACCACCAACCATCTTTCAAAAGATGATTAGGCTGCTGAATAAAATGTAAGAGGAGTTCAGGGAAGATGGGGCTTTTTGCATAAAAAACTTCATTTTTTGACCCCCATTTGACCCCCCCAGGGCAAAATTAAAATTCCGAAACCTTACTGCACATCTACATGACACCACCAATCATCCCCCAAAAGGTGATTAGGCTGCTGAGTAAAATGTAGAAGGAGTTCAGGGAAGACGGGACTTTTTGCATAAAAAACGTCATTTTTCGACCCCCATTTGACCCCCCGGGGCAAAATCAAAATTCCGAAACCACATTACATGATACCACCATCATCCCCCAAAAGATGATTAGGCTGCTGAGTAAAATGTAGAAGGAGTTCAGGGAAGACGAGACTTTTTGCATAAAAAACGTCATTTTTCGACCCCCATTTGACCCCCCGGGGCAAAATCAAAATTCCGAAACTTTACAACACATCTACATGACACCACTAACCATCTCCCAAAAGATGATTAAGCTACTGTGTAAAATGTAGGAGTTCAGGGAAGAAAAGTGTGACAGACGGACGGACGGACGGACATGAGTAACAACAATATACCCGAACTTTCTTTAGAAAGTGCGGGTATAAAAATGGTTATTTTACAAGGAATCGTCGTGACAGGGAAATTAATAATATATGGTTTTTACAACTGAGGTACAATGTAATTAATTCATTCTACAAGTAGTAGTTTTCTCTTCTAAAGTCCACATTATTTTATTAGTGAAAAGAATATATAAGCATATTTATTTTATTAGTAGATTAATTTTATCTTTTATACTACAATGTTCGGTAACAAGAACACATGTTTTACGGCAATAAAAATCATGTTATTAAAATACTGATTTAAAGCATCATACGTATCCGCATATTATGTTTGATAAAAATATCTTGAATGATTTAATGAAACTGAGCTTAATTCACTTTTTTTAAGAAAAGAGAGGTCAAAGGAAAGGTTGGGGTCAAAATGTTGTTGCAGTTGAAAAGCTTACATCAGTATGAATTTACTATTAGCATATAAAGTTTAATAAAAATATAATTAATGGTTTATTCAAAACTTAGATAAACACATATATTAAAAAGTGAGGTCAAGGTCAAAAGAAAATTCAAGGCCAAAATAAGTTGATGCATTAATAGCTCTCAGCAGTATCTATTAGCATATGAAGTTTGATAAATATATATTGAATTGTTTATTAAAAACTGATCTAGACATTAATTTTAGAAAAGTGAGGTCAAGGTCACAGGCAATGTCAAGGTAAAAAAGAGTGAAGCATTGTAAAGCTTACATCAGTATGTATCATCATGTGAAGTTTCATTACACAACTTGAATGGTTTCTTTAAAATAAAGCTAAACGCTAATTTAAAGAAAAGTTAAGTGAAGGTCAAAGGAAAAGTCAAGGTCAAAAAGTATTGCTGCAGTTGGATAGTTTACATCAGTATGCATCAACATATTAACTTTGATAAAAATATCTGGAAAGTTTCTTTGAGCCCGGTGGAAAGACAGATTGAAGGGTGGAGGACGGACATGACAAAAACTATACATGTATTCCCAATCATGGCGTGACATAAAAAACTTGAATCTACATTATATGAGGGCAAGTCAGATTTGAGGTCAACATTCATTTTAGGAGTTTCAACCATTAAGACGTAAAGAGATATTAACTTGATCCTTCCCCTGATCCCTTCCCAGACCCCTGTTTGTTCATGTATGCAAACTAAAATGTACTACTTGTTTTTACATTTTAAAAAAAATCTTAATATATACAAATAGGTTAATGTGGTCCATCTCTTTGAATGATTTTCATTCCTAATTCTAGGAGGATAGGTTGTTGAATAAAATGTCAAGCAATCTTATCATTGATGCACTTTTATTTAATTTAATGCAGTCATATTGTGATCATTTCCAGTTCATTAGGAGTGAGGATGACCTCCAGGGGTTCATAACCTTTACGCCATTAAATTTATATAACATAACACAAAAAACAAAATTATGTATAGTCAAATGGAAAAAGTTTCCTACTATTTAGGAGTCACATGATCATTTGTCGTTACAGGGACGGGGAGTGGATTAAGAGATATCCCCCCCCCCCCCCCGGAATATGCAGGACTATAATATACATGTATATAATAACAAATAAAAAAGACTTTGGATGCCCCCCACCCTAGAAAACAGACCCCACCATAACCCCTCTTTTTTTGCTTCTCAGGAAATTCTTGTCTGGAAATCCCCCCTCCCTCCCAGGAAAAAAAATTCTGTATCTTGTAAGTGAATGTAACGTCGATAACGGGCGATAACTCTTTAGAATGTGAAATTCGTCTTATTGCAGCATCGGATGACCTTTGATCCTTTAAATTTTAACCTAACCAGTTGCATTTCAGACTATTTTACCCAAATCTATACCAAAACTTGTACTTACCGACTGTCATAGGTCCCGTAAACTTTATGAAATATAATCCAATTAAAACACAAAATAATTCCTACTGACATACATGCAATTATATGTACACCACACTAGTACTGCACGTGCAGTGCAATCTGAAAATGATAATGGTAAAACTAGTACTTAAGTCAGGTACGTGACGCAAGCCCAATGTGATGCAGGTGTTCAGATATATTTATAGTACAAGAACAAATTTAAAATTATCATTTGCGAAAGATGTTTTATCTTAACTTTGCCATCTAGGCCTATTTCCAAAAACAGGCAAATAGGGTGTGTTTGTGTGTGTGTGTGTTGATTGGAGAGGGGTGGGGGGTGGACTAAATTGATTGGGTATATGTCAGCTTTCAAGGTGTTTCTGCCTAATCAAATATAAAAAAGTCTGTACATTTTGAAAAAATCATTAAAAACGCTTTACACTAATTTGAATAATATTATTTGTTGTTGATCTATATGAGAAAATAGATTTAAAAAGTTCCAATTATGGGCCAAAAATTTATTCCCCCCCCCCCCCCTTTATCAAACCTAATTTACATCATTAATTAAATTCTGTTGAATAATTTCAAACTGGTAATGAATTAAGAATATGAAATACCTATAAGATCGAGGCCCATGGGTCACATGGTCACCTGAGCATATTATGCTCAATTTGATGAATACTTGTATAATGTAAATTATTGAATTATATTTTTTTCCTTGGTAATGCCCAGTTTGAAGGAGTGTGCATTTAGAGGCCTTAGTGCGGGTATTACTGTCTCATGACAGCATCTAGTTTATTTATTTATTGTTTATTTATATTCTAGCACCTAACATTATAATACAACAGAATAGTTTCAATGCAAGGAAAAGATCGGAGGCATTCTGAATAAATCATTCATCTTGCGTTCACCGTTCGTTCACTGTTCACTTTGCGCTCCGTTCGCGTTCTGCGTTCACTCACCGTTCTGCATTCACACATCGTTCACCAAGTTATATTCAGTGTTCACTCACCATTCGCTTTGCGTTCATTCACCATTCGTTCACTGTTCGCTCTGCGTTCGTTCACCATTCAGGTGGGAAAGTAGAACGTTTCAGGGACAGTACCTACTTACATATGTAGAATATGAAACTGATATAATCACAAACAGACAAGATTGGATTCACAAAGTTACAAGGCTGGATTTTTGAACTTGATTACCCTCCACAGAACAGGGCCATAAGATTGATCAAATTTTAATATAAAAAATTCTCTTGAATTTGATTATTTTGGAGTTGAAGGATCTTTTGTTATTACTTACAATTAATAGGAAGTTTTAAATATAAATTGTATAATTCATTAGTTTGTAGAATGTTTTTGAATACTGTTTTAGAAAGGAAGCCAGAAAGCTGATGAATACATTAGAATTATTAAAGACAAACTTGAGGTAGCAGTTAGTCAGTGTATAGAAGCAGCAGGACATGAAATAGATTCAGCAAAACAGGAACCGCTCCTTAAGGTATGTATTATGTGAGGTGGTCTTTGTATGTCTACATAAGTTGAGGAATATGGGTACCTAATATCGTACAACATACCTATCCCCAAATTTCCTGTTGTTAAATTTTTGTTATTTGTGCATTTTTTAACCCATTTTCTACCAGCACATTTTCAGGGGCTTTTGTGACGTTTTGACTTAAAATTATAAAATAATATCTTATAGTTTTTAGCTCACCTGAGCCAAAGGCTCAGGTGAGTTTTTCTGATCAAAAGGATATCGTCTAAGAAGGCTAAGGCAATTTTCCAGTTTAACCTGTGAAACACCAAATTGATAGCTCTAGCGAAGGTCATAGAGGCATTGCACAGACCGAACCCCATTCTGATAAATTTAAATAGACCATATTTGGTAATGAAGGTGGTCTTCTTCTGGAGCTATTTTAATTTGCCAGTTAAGGCTGCATTTGCATCCAGTTTGGAAAACCAGCGGTTCCCCGCTAGCGCGTCCATGCACTCAAGCGGCAACCAGAACCGGGATGGATACCCAGTCTGAGGAAGATGGCTGGATGACTCTGGCCTCTAACATCTTGTCTTGATGACCTTCTTCCTCCCCCTGAAACACAGCAAGGGTGTGGCACATCTGCTGCTTAACAGGAGGTGTTTTAAGAGTGTCAGTTTGGTGCTTGATCTCGGAGAAACTCCCAAGATCCATCTACAGCAAAGACGTCAGCAAATTCTTTGACCAGCTCCGCAGCCTGAGACTTTACTTCCACAGGCGCAGTCTTGCCTAACTGTTCTAGAAGTGGGGCAAGATGTTTGTAACTGTTCCCTACTCTGCTGACACACGACGCACTGTGGAATCAGAACTTTTAACAGACAAGGCAGGGGCAGCTTCCCCTACCTTTGTACCAGTTTTGATAATGTGACGCCTGTCAGTCAGGTTTAGTATATACATAGTTTGGCTTTACTTCCTGCAGTATTATATGTTCGCGAAGCCACAATACCAGGTGGAAAAATACTGGCTGGCTCCAGCATAAACTCTGGCATTTCCACAGGGTGCACTCAATAACTTGGGCATTGTGGGAGAACCCACACTCTGTGGACTGAAACTATATCAAGTAGTGGCACTGTTTCTTCAGAACTCTGACCAAAGGTTTTGTATGCCATTGACCCTTAGTGTACCTGCTTCGCATGAAACTTCTGCACCATGAGTCAGGGACGTAGCAACCGGGGGGGCCAGGGGAGGCCTGGCCCCCCACTTTTTTCCCCAACATAACCTTTAGTATAGTAAATGTTCATTGATAGGATGGTTGGCCCCCCCACTTTATAACCATAGTATAGTGATATCAAGGATTGTAGGGAAAAAATTGGAAGTGATAGTAAGTTGGCTTTGAAAAAGTTGGCCACTACCCCCCCCCCCCCCCCCCCCCCCCCCCTACGAAATAGGATTTTCGAGCTTGGGCAACTTTTAATTTGGTTTTTTCTTTTTGGTTTTTTTCTTTTTTTTTTTTTTGCTTGTCAACTTTTTCAGGTAAGTAAAAAAAAAATTTCTCTGGTTGGCCCCCCCACTTTCAAAAATGATCCTACGTGCCTGTGAGTGTGCAGGAAATCAATCCCCAGAAGCATTTCATCTCGTAAGGGGCCAACATATACTGACAGTCAAAAGAAGCGCAGCAACCTCATTTTTGGGGGGAAATTATATACAGGTTATAACTATGTACTAAAAAAGTGAGGAAACTCTTTAATTTTGCCAAATCAGTTATTAAACGGTTGAATGATTATTATTCCATAATTGGAAATTGCTTTTTAGCCCTCTTAACAGAAATCAAAATTTTGAATTTTTAATAAAATATTAAACATTATTTTGGTTTTTCAAGGTTTTGTTGCTGTTAATCATAAGTATTGTACTAAAATCTCGGGAAAAAATGCTTCTTTCTTTTCCGGTTGTGATAACCCATATATAATTTCCCCCATAAAATGAGGGTGTTACGTTTCTGTTGACTGTCAGTATAGATTGGGTGAACAAAATCATAATCCCCGATGCATATGTTGAGATTCCCAAGGTACTGGGCAGTCATACCAGCCCCCTAGCCTAATATTAGTGTCTTTAACAACCTCGGGATGCGGCCTCAAGAACTTATAAACTTCACTTGAGATTATTATGATGTTGGCTGCCGTATCTATTGTCACTTTAATTTGCTGGCCTCCTATGCGTTGTTGATCGAAATTTACACTCAATAAAAACGTTTATATTTTTGCTTATTATAAAGACTAGGATCATCAAATATTGTAAGATGAGTAGGTCATGGTGACATACTTTTTAGCTCTACTGGTAAGAGATCAGAAAAGCTTATGCAATAGTAATGCGTCTGTTGTCTGTCCGTCTAGCTGTCTGTCTGACTGTAAAAAATTTTTCAAAATGCTACTCCTCCTACAGTTTTGGTCTGATTTCAATATAATATGGCACACAAGTAGACTACACAAAGATACATTATATTGTGTATCAGTTTATGGTTTCGATGAACGGTGTTGCCGTGGTTTCTAAAAAAAGAAATTTCTGTGAAATACTTTCAAAATGCTACTCCTCCTACAGTTTTGGTCTGATTTCAATATTATTTGGCACACAAGTAGACTACACTAAGATACATTATATTGTTTATCAGTTTTTGATTTCGATGAACGGTGTTGCCGCGGTTACTAAAAATAGAAATTTCTGTGAAATACTTGTAATTTACTACTCCTTCTACAGTTTTGGTCTGATTTCAGTATGTATATAACCAGGCAAACAAGTTGAATAAAATAAGATACATAATTCTGTGTATCGATTTTTTTATTTCGATGAATGGTGTTGCCATGGTTAGTAAAAATAGAAATTTCCAAATACATTTGTAGTCTGATTATAATATAATTTGGCATGCAAGTAAACTACACTGACATGCATAATTATCAGCTTTGTGTTTTTTATTTTGACGATTGATGTTGCCATGGTAACTAAAGTTGAAGATTTTGTAAAGTTTTATTAAATGCTACTCCTAAAGTTGTAGTCTTATTGCAATCTTACCACAAAATGAGACTTAATCAAAGATCATCATTCTATTTATTGGTTTTGTAAAGTTTTAAGTCCCAGCTGCTACTTTTCTCTTCCTTTATTTATTGCTATCTGTTTTTGTCCGTCGTCGTTTGTCGTTCCTCATGCGTTAACATTTGAACATTTTCAGCTTCTTCTCTGAAACCACTGAACCAATTTTGGCATATAGCATCTATGGGTGAAGAGGAACAAAAATTGTGAATTTCATGGTCCCTGACCCCCTGGGGTCTGGGGGGGTGGGACCAAAATCATTAAAATTAGTGCAATCTTTAAAAATCTTCTTCTTTACTCCTGGACATCAAGCAGTCAAACTGTTGGCATGATTGTTATCAGCATTGAGTCCTCTACCAAAATTGTGAAATTCATGCTCTTGGAGTCAGAGGTTCTAGTGCTAGGGCGGGTCTCTATTGATTATATAGTGAAAATGCATTATTTCTTTGAAAATCTTCTTCTCTGCTCCTGGCTATCAAATAAACTAAGTAAGAACATAGTTATGATGAGCAAGAGTGTCTCTTCTAAAATTGTGAATTTTATGGCCCCAGGGTCAGGGGTTCTGGTGTTAGCGCAGGGCTCTATTGATTATAAAGTGAAAATGCATTAATTCTTTGAAAATCTTCTTCCTTGCTCCTGAGTATTAAATAAACTAACTAAGTACATAGTTATAATGAGCAAGAGTGCCTTTAAAATTGCCAAATTTGTGGCCCCAGATTCAGGGGTTCTGGTGTTAAGGTAGGGCTCTATTTATTATATAGTGAAAAATGCATTAATTCTTTGAAAATCTTTTTCTGTGCTCCTAGGTATTAAATAAACAAACTAAGTACATAGTTATAATGAGCAAGAATGTCTCTACCAAAATTGTGAATTTCATAGCCCCAGGGTCAGGGGTTCTGGTGTTAGGGTGGGGCTCTATAATGATTATATAGTGAAAATACATTAATTCTTTGAAAATCTTCTTCCCTGCTCCTGGGTAATAAGCAGATAAACTACCCATATAGTTTATGATGTGCAAGGGTTCTTCTTCCAGAATTGTGAATTTCCAGGCCCCAGGGTCAGGGATACCATAGGGGGCTCAATTCATATACTGAAAATGAATTGTTTGAAATCTGATCCTTGGTATTAATCTAACATTTCTGATAAGCAAGTGTGCCTTTTCAAAAATTGTGCAGTGTGTGGACCTAGGGTCAAGGGGTTCATGTGTGGTATGGGCACTTCTGATTATTGCTGAATATTACTGATTAGGCTTAAATTAAAATTTTGTTTGTTTGCCCTTAGCCGACTGACCCACGAAAATTAGCCCGACTCAAAATATTTTATTCTGTTTTTCATGTACAACTTTTTTTATTTGATTTGTTTCTTGTCCGTTTTGGGGGGCTACATAAAATATGTATTAGGTCATTTAAACACTTTGATTTTCCTTTTTCTCAGTCGCCTGTTAATGATTGAGATTAGGAACTGAATGAAATAGCAGTAAGAAAAAAATATTTGCAGAGATATATTTGATTTTGTTGATTAATGTGCTAACTACCACGTTCATAAAGTTAAGATGATTGTTGGTCGTTGGGAGCTCTTTGATTCTACTAATCGATTTCAAAATAAATGTTGCCAACATCGCTGACATACTTTAATTTTATTACCAAATCTAAGTGGAAAGAGCACAAAAGTAGTTTTAAATGTTGAAAACATCGAAGGACTCCATGACTTCAGCCTTGTTAATATTTTGACTGCCATGATTAAATTTGGGGTCAGACTAATAACAGGAAATGGACAAAATTGCAAGGTTTTACTATACTAAGGAAAATATTTTTCGTCTAGACAATGTGGAAACATAATTAGAATAAGAAATACAAGTCTTATTTTTAAATAACATCTTTAAAAACTTGTAATCCCATGAATAACTAGTGCTAATTGTAACGGGGACCGTTACAGATGTTCCCCAA